TGCTCTGACAAGCGATTTGTCGAGAATCTACCGATAAATAGGTCCTATTCCTAGGAGTATGTTTGGAAAAAATATATTTATTTGCGTTTTGTGGACCTTGTTATGCAATATGTACTATTGTTCTTTTGTTTGTCATAATACGAGGATACAAAAGCTAGGAATCAAGGTAACACTTCTGTCCAATATTTTTTTGGTGTTGAATATAACATATTTCATTGTTGGGAACCTGGGATTTGCAAAAAATGGCCGATTAATAATCGACCCATAAAATCGATTAATCGGCAGATTTTAGATTAATCTCTAATTCCCAGCTGACCAAAACGCTAACGATAACCGATATCCTCAACATTGAGCATGATAAACTACATCACCCCATTAAACAAGGCATGCCACCACCAATTCTGCAGTATGCAGATGACACACTCATCTTTCTAGAAGCCACTCCCACTGCGGCAACAAAGCTCAAAACAATATTGGATGATTTTATTGTCACCACTAGCCTAGCTACATATTAATTTCCACCTTCGTAGCACTTAATGTTGATCCAAAAACTACAGCTTTCTATTGGTTGTTAATCTACAGACAATTTTGTCTTACTTTCCACAAACATACCTAGGATGCCTCTTTCCTCAACTAAAGTGTCGTCCACAGCTTCCCTTAATTGACACTTTTGATTGTTGTCTATCCAGATGGATTGCACATCTACTCACCAAAGGTGGCCGCCTAGTCCTACTCTTTGCAGTCCTTGACCCACTCCCCACATATTTCATGGGCTCCTTATTACTACGCAAACTCCCCATTAAGCACCTAGACAAAAATGGAAGTCTTTTTTTCTAGTCTGACAAAGATACTTGTTCAGGATCACAATGCTTGGTAGCATGGGGCAAAGTTTTCATACCCGAGATCACTATCCAATCAGAAATCAAACTTCCAAGATCCATCTCACTCAGTCCCGAGTAAATAGTAAGACTTCAGAGTGCTAGGGTATATTTTCTTACATGACTATCTTGCCTAACTTGGCAAATAAAAAGAGAACCCCATTTTCCCAGAATTGGACTTGTTTGTTTTTAGTAGGTGGTTAGTGGTTTAGGTATTAAAACATTCAGGCACAAAGTTTTGTCTTATGATGAAATTTGCTTTCAAGTTCTTTCATTCTAGAAGCCTACCATGGAAGCAGTGGATCATGCATGAGTCACCATTCTCATTCTCACTTATTGAAAAAAGCTTCCTACTTAGTTAAGTTAGTCCACCAAAACGTAGATGGTTTAAGAGACATCACCTAATGTTCTGCGCAAGATGGAAAATCCACCTTGTTTTGGTTGGTGCTGAACCGGAGGAGGTCGCGGAGGTGTCTTCCCTTGCGCCACGATCGCCTCTCTTTGCTTAGGCCATACCTGCCCTTATGGCAATGTTTTACGTCGTCACCTTCCTTCAGTTCTTGGTCCCAGTGGTGTTTCGGTGTCAACCCTGTCGACCCTTTTGTAAGGCATACACTATTAAGCTAGTATCAAATTTCTATTTCATCTACTCTAGGTGTTACTCTGTGCTCTATGACCAAGCTCAAGTTCAATTTTTGTTGTTGGAATGTGTGTGGCCTTGGGCAGCCACAAAAGTGTGCCATGGCTACTACCAGTGCCCCTAGCCACTTCTTTTCTTGCCATCTACTCCCATCACTAAATAAAATGTGATCGTTCATACTATCATGCATGATGAGATTGGCTCAGCCTTGCGTAATAGACTAACCATTGCCGCAATGAAAGAACTTGTCTCCATTTGTGGTCTTCTGAAGGGTGTTATGCTCACTAGAGTGCCAGATCAACAATGCATGTGTTGGTGGTGAGCCCTCCTCAACAAAAGTTGTATACAAACCATCATGTACAAAGTTGTTGATGACCCTGCTCTCACTAGTTTGGTCCTCCCGGGTTCCCAACAAGATCAAGGTCATTGGGTGGTTGTTGCACAATGATGGACAATGATGGGCTAAACACGTACATAAACCGGTATTCAAATCAAAACAGAACAATAGAATATGATACGATATGAGCATCGTCCATTCGGCTCCGATCTGGTTTCGCCCCTATCTCCATTTGCATATCATGTGACGCAGTTCGCATGGAGCGACATTTCCTTCTGGACGCACCTCATGAAGACAACCCAACCCTCGAATTTGGTCGTTTTCTTTTTTGGGGGTGAAAGATAGTATTGCTCAAGACTCCAAAGAGTTACAATCAGCCGTAGCTAGCTCAAGTGCATCTGCTGGGCCAGATCCAATCCATGTCATTGTTCTTCCCTCTACACGAGCAAAATTCGTTAGACTATCGCTAACCTTATTTTGATTGCGACTAATATGAGCAAAATTTGGTCGTCTCTACGTCGCTGCTTGCGATCTCTGCAGCCTTAAACAAAAACTTGGCTATCGGTTTCGTGGCATTGGTTTATCATCCTCGCCCATGCTTTTTCGGACGACGTCGCGCTCATGCCATTACCAGCGATCGCAATGCCGGCGACAAGGCAGAGCCCACGTACAAGGAGGGTGGCGACCTGGTGGCAACGGATAGCCCACGTAACGTGCAACATCACCGAGCGCGTCGACCTGCTGCCCGACCCGAACGATTTGTTCGTAGGCAGCCCCGCCCGTGGCCACGCCGAGCCAACCACAGCCGCATCCCCTCCCTCCGCCGCCTCGCGTCGCGGCAGCCAGCAAAGAGCTCTCCCCAGTTCCCCGCCGGGAGCTCCCGCTCGACCCCCAAAAATGCCCTCCGCCTCGCTCCTCCCCGCCACATCCGCCGGGGCGCAGCCCTGCCCCACCCTAGCGCCGCCCCGCGGCCGGCGCCGATGCTGCCGCGTTACGGCCGCCTCCGCCCCATCGCCTTCCGTCGGCTTCGGCCTCGGCCGCCGGGCCGTCTCCCTCGCGGGCGTCGCCGCCTGGCTCGCCACTACCGCCGGCCGTAAGCATGCTACTACAATATTCAATGGGCAGCTCGCCTGTGTGTTTTGGGCGAGCTGTGTGCGATGTGAGTGACCAATTTGCCGTGCCACGGATGTTTGCAGGGGCAGAAGCCAGTCCGTTCGACAACTACGTCAAGAAGTACTAATCCGTGTCTCCATTTTTCTTTGCGTTAACACCACCTTGTGGCTTCGCGCTGACCTTCAATTGCCTCTGCTGCTAGGAAGAAGCTGGAGCCATTGGAGACATACGTCCCGGCTGTGCTGCTGACCCAAGACCAGTTCAGGGATCTAGGTGAGGCTGATTTACTGTTGATAAATTTGGTACCCAATGCACCGACTTGGTCGGCACACGGGCTGTCCTGATTGAACATGCGCAAGAAAGTTATTCCAGTTGCAAGTGCACGACTGTTTGAGCAACCATTAGCAGCTGGGTTCTTCATCTGCAATCGTCCAGAATCAGTGTGAAATGTACAGTTTTGTTCAAAGTTCTTTTGCAGGTGTACCATATACATTATTCAATTATCATGTGCTTCTTCCAATGGAAATGGTCCTTTGAAACAAGCAGAATACAATTGCTACAACTCAATTATCTTAGATTCCACCTTTGTCAGATGTTTTTAACCTTTATATGCTCTTCATACAGAGAAATCCTTGGAATTCGAGAAGCCAAGGTTTGATGAGAGTAGATCATTGCTTCGTTCTGGTCCAGCATCATCACTACGTATCAATATTCGAGCAGTAAGTCAATGATTTGGTGAATGTTGGTACATTACTAGTGCATTCATGTTTTTATGACTAGCTAGCCCTTCTACTTCTCAAGCTTCAGGTGTCCTAGGGTCTTGAAATTATTCTTAGGCCATAGCATTATAGAGTATCCATATTTCATAATTATGATTCCTTTACTTCTAGCTATGCATACTGAAACTGTGTCGTAAACTTAATGTAGGTGGCACAATATGCTTCTACTAATGGCCAAGGCAAAACTGCCTCTGATGCAGTCGACGAATGCTTACGGTAAATGACACCCTTTTTAGAAGTACATACTTGTTTGCCGAATGTATTGGAGCTTAGGAGCTGTTATGCATGCTGTTTCCTAGAGCGTTGGAAGATCTCGACTCGCTGCTACTAAAGGCTTCACGGAAAGACTCGTCAGCATCTGTTGAAGTCATGAGGAGCAAAATTGCTGTAGCCCTTGGAGCACTAGACAAGTATTGCCAAATAGTACAAAATCTTTATCCATCTTGAAATCAAAAGGAGGCATTACTCATACTTCTTTGTATTCCTGTCATTTCAGCCTCCTGCAAACCGTGCCATCAGCTGTTATGGATAAAGGAAAGGCGATTGCTGATGCATACAGGAGCCCTTCAGATGGTTATTATGAAGAGGGTAATGGCGCAGAGTTGGATCCCAGCCTGAAGCAGCTGCAGGACATTCTATAATGCTGAATCTTGCTGAGGTTAACGCATCTTGTACTGTTACGTTTTGTCAGTATGATTAAATTGCAGAGTGGGACAAAGAAGTTCGTAGCAGAACAATTACCTGTGGCAGTACTTCTAGAGTATATAGTACTAGTGATCTAAACGCTCTTATATTTCTTTACGGAGAGAGTATTACTTTTCATTATAGTAAACTGCACGTCAGAACACCGTTTCTTCTAATGTTTTATACCTGACTGTCTGTATAAATTAAACGAAAGTTTTAGCATAATCCTAATTCTGCAGAACCGTATAGGCTCCTAGTATGAAACCATCACCCAAATATTGTAACGTAGAGATTACACTGCACAACAGTGCACTAGTGATCTGCACTCGTTGTAACTTGCATTCTAAATTCCAAGCATTCATTTGCAGTGGACAATACATAAGTGGATCTCAGAAGAAGGTTGCATACTTGCATGACATAGGGTCAACTCAAAACTCTGATCACAACAGTTAATTTACAATACTACTCCCTCCGTTCCAAAATAGATGATTCAACTTTGTACTAAAGTTAGTACAAAGTTGAGTCATCTATTTTGAAACGGAGGGAGTATATATCTTCAGCAGCAGATATGGTTTGACCAACAGATCAATCAAAGTACTCCCTCCGTTCCTAAATGTAAGTCTTTGTAGAAATTTCACTAGGTGGACTACATATGGAGCAAAATGAATGAATCCACACTTAAAATGCATCTATATACATCCGTATGTAGTTCATAGTAAAATCTCTACAAAGACTAATATTTAGGAACGGAGGGAGTAATAAACACCAAAAAGCCCATTGTCATTTGCGTCAACATATAAACATTCTCCAAATTAAGCACACATTAACCAACAGAGAAACCAAGAGCAGGAGGCATAGAATTCCTGAGTAACCACATGAGTAAGAAGGAAGGACCACCAGTCTGTCGTCCATCGTCCTGTCGATGTACTTGGGGAAGGCACATGGACAGTACGTTGTGATGCAGCGGCGTCCTTGGTCGGAGAACGGCGCCACTGCCTCCACAGCCGCACGTTTCATGTCAATGGTGATGACGCAGGCCTTGTCATCTTCATCGTTCACCCTGGCCATCATGTATACGAAATCATCATCTTGCGTGCTCAGGGTTGTGCCGTAGAAAACGAGCTTCTTCTTCAGTTCCAGTTGCTTGGTCTTGTCGTTCCACAGGTCAGGAAGCAATGCACGATAGCTCGGGTCAACCGAGATATCGGCGACATCGACCGTGAAACGCCGGCGCCAGTTGTCCCAAGACACCATCCTGGTAAACGTGGTGGCTATCCACCCTTCGTCGCTCCCACCATCGCCTTCGTAGACGTCGATGTCGACGAGCTTGATCAGGCCGTCGCAGCAGGTGACATCGCGGATATACTCGGGGAGGTCTGCGCAGTAGAAAATGCCACCATCCTCGTCGGTGGTGCATACCCTTGGCTCGGGCACTGGGATGTACTGGATCACGGGATGCTCGTCGAACAGGTTGGTAACCAGAAGGATGCCGCGCATGACATCAACCCAGCCCAGCGAGTCTGCTCCCACGGTGATCTGCTTGGTGGTCTCGTGATCGTGGTTACCCAGCAGTAGCTTGTCAGACTCCGATAGGCTCTGCGAGGCCCGCTTAGCGGTCCACGCCCGGGTCTCCGACGAGAAGACGTGGGCGTCGAACTGCCATGGCTCATCACCGGCGTTGGGAACCCAGTTGAGATAGGCCACGGCGTAGTGGTCGCCGCAGGGCAAGAGGCCGAATTCCTCGGCTACGAAGCCTCGAATGTTGGGGTCCGGAAGGAGGTCCAGCGATGGCTTCCCAGGGCCAGCTCTGTAGACAAAATACTCGTAGTGGCTAATCCAGGTGGAGTGCAAAGTTACGCTGAAGAGAACGAGGGCTCCCTCCGCGTTGATGACCGAGGCCTCGTAGTGGCTGTAGGAGTGATCATCGTCGTCGTCTTCCTTGAGGCCGGGGCAGTGGACGGTGAAGTAGGAGACGCCCGGCGGATCCACGAGCCAGAAGGACAGCGCTACAGCCTGGCCGTCACTCGTCGTGGACTCGGCGGTGGTGGCGTTCCGGCGGCCGGAGATGTACGACAGTTGCTGCAGTAAAACTCAGTCGGGGGAGCCGGAGCGCCGGGAGGCGGAGTCGGCGGCGTACGATGGTTCCTGCAGGGTCGGGGGCCGGAAGGAAGCGGCGGGCAAGCGGAACGGTATCGACATGGATATACCGAACGATTTGGCGCCCCGTTGGGTGGACTGGACGCCTGGACACCGGAGCGGAGGAACTGCGTTTTAGCGTGTTTGGGAGTTGCGACGGCAGTGTATATGTATATATGTAGCGGCACGTGCGTGCGAGGTGCGACGCAGCTGGGCTGCGAGTCCGAGTCTGAGCGCTGTCGGTGCGCGCTGTGCGTTCGATCTGCTTCGGTTTTCTGCTTTTCTTTTTCGTTTTCTTTTTTACTTCTTTGGTTTTAGTTGTTTATTACACAAAAAATATTTCATTCTACTTTGGTTTTTTTATTTCGCCTTCTTCTTTCTTCGTTATACTTTGATTTTCTTATGTTTCCTTTTTTGGCTTTATCGTTTTCTTTGGTTTCATTGCTTTTCTTTTGGTTTCTTTGTCCGATTTCTTAGGTTTTCCTTTTTAACACATGTCTACTATTTTCTCAGTAGGCAATTTACATTTTTAGAGCGCATGTGAAACATTTTTCACATACACGTTGGACATTTTAAATATACATCATGTACATTTTTCAAAAATAGATATTTGAATACTTTTTAACATTTTCCAAATATAAACACTTTTTTAAAAACTATTCAAACATTTTTAAAATGTATAGGCATTTTTTAAAATATCATGGACATTTTCTTAAACATGTGAATATGTTTCTAAATGTTACATGCATTATTTTAATAAAAATAAATATTTTTCCAGCCTACACGGTCATTTTTTTGTATTGTGTATAATATTTTTTTAATATCATGGATATTTTTATCGAAATGAGGGAATATTTCCATAAAATATCATGTACATGTTTTAATGGCACAAACATTTTTTACATTATGAAAACATTTTTTTACATTGTATACATATTTTTTTCTTAAAAAATTGTAATTGTTTTTGAAATGCCAGAACATTTTAAATTGTCACAATTTTTTTAAAATTATCAACATTTTTTAAACTGCGCTAACAATTTATATATATGTTAACACTTTTTCAAATTGATGGTTTCAAATTTCTTAAGTAAACTTAAGTTTCAAAATATATGCATTTAAAACATAAATAAAAGTAGAAAGAGAAGACAATCGAGTGATATCAGCATGATGACCCACGGTCCAACACGGCGCCGTGTAGGCGAGGCAGTCTTCTGCCTCGTAGCAGGCAACACATAGTTGTGCCCCACAAACACCGGCCTCTTTGTCCAACTGCATTAACGTGTTTGAAGTCGTGGGCTTTTTGCTAGCTTGTTGAGCGGTTGGCCCTATCTAAAATCATTAGTGTGTTTCATAAGCCCGGTTAATGAAATTTTGTAGTATTATTTTTTGGGGAAAAAAGTGTATGTACCCCCCTCTGATGTATCTGGGCAGAGCTCGTTTTTATGAGAAACATGGTACAGACGCAGACATCTTCAGAGGTGAATTTTTATTAACTTGTACCTTTTTCACAAATACGGAAAATTTGTCTATGTTATCATTGATAGAAGAAAAGAGAATGAATACAATGAGGTACGATACATGTATGAACGCAAGATGACGTGAACATGATGCCCAAATCAGAGAAAAATAGACAAGGGGCGCTTGGCCCGGACAAGCAAACGACACAGCTAAAACCACTAACTAGGGAGGCAGTCGAGACCAATGTGGAGTCTGACAACCACAAGTCTAGCACCGGGAACCACTATGCAGGAATGCCCGCCAGCGACCTCCCGCCGCTGCTATATTCGCATCAGTAGAGAGTGCCCGCCTCCACTAGTAGAGAGTCTGCAGTGGCGGGCGCACAACTCTGCCTGTGAGTGATTATAGTTAAAGCAGTGGCGGGCACGTTTCAACGCCCGCCATTGAAAGCTTTGTCATGCAAATTAAAAATTCTGCGCATATTTGCTGTCATGTCTGCATTTTGCTTGAATGTAAGATCATAATTTGCAATACGTTGCGATAAGAAATTACGATACATATTGCAACATACACTAAATCACTAGCTAATTCTTATCATGAATAATATTAGTACAACATAAAGCAATGAACATCTATATATTCAACAACTCTCTAATGTTTAGTACTTACACGGTCCGATAAAATAAGTGCATACAACATATATGTTCAATATAGTGCTATAGCTAGTTCCAGTATAGCTAGTGCACCACGGAAAGTATGTATTACGGTGATTGTTGGACATCATATCAAAGATAGATTTTGTTGCCGCCCTCATGACCCTCCTCAAATTCCTAAAGAAAAGGTAAGAACGCCTTCCCAACTTGCATGCCAAATTGTGTGGCAATGTCAATCCAATTTTGACCATGCAAATAAATTCTCCTTCTCTCGTTGGTGAGAGTGAGGGTCAAGGGAATGCCATTTTTTAACAGCATCATGTCGAACTGAATCGTCCAGTCCTCATCGATGGCTAGGTTGGCCACACACATGAACTCCTCCCTTCCTCAGCAAGGGATACATTAAGCATGATAAAAAGAAAACAGAAATTAGACAATTGTGGACGCAACTTACGGAACCACAAACTATAACACTAATTAAATGGAACATACCGCCCACTTCATAAAGTCCTCGTGGAGATCAACACATATCTCATTGTAAGTTAGGTGAACTTTGAAACATGCACCTAGCCTCCTGTTGCCACAGAAGTGGCATTTTGTGGCATCTTTCATTCATTGCCTATGTTCAAGTTAGGTGAATACTGATACGGATAAGACATAGATAGACTAAAAGGCTAGCAATTGAGTAAATATACTAAAGATCAACCAAT